TGCTGCTGCTGCTGTAGTGTGTTTCTGCTGCTGCTGCTGCAGTGTTGTGCTGCTGCTGCTGCTGCTGCTGTAGTGTGTTTGTGCTGCTCCTTCTGCAGTGTGTTGCTGCTGCTGCTGCTGCTGTGTTTTGCTGCTGCAGCGGGGCGCGAAGCAGGTGGCTGGAGTGGAGTTGTTTCTGCCCCCCGGCATCGCAACGTCTTGTTTGCCTCTGTCTTGTCTCCTCGTGGCTCTGCGCTGTCTCCGCACGCCGGCTATACGGCGGTATGAGCGGGAGCTGCGGCCGCTGGCTGCTGCTGCTGCTGCTGCTGCTGGTGCTGCGGAGACGGAGACGGATTCGCAGCAGCAGCAGCAGCAGCAGCAGCAGCAACAGTTGCAGCTGCAGGTGAACAAGGAGACCTTTGCTGCTGTCCCCTGCTGCAGAAACGTATTCATGTTGGTGCCGCTGGCAGCAAGACTGATGCTGCTGTCTCGCGCTGCTACAGCAGCACCTGCTCTGGCCCCTGGGTACCTTCCTGCTGCTCCTCTGGCTGCTCGTGATGCAGCAGCAGCAGCAGCAGCAGCAGCACGGGGCATTCCGTTGTTGTGGGGTCCGCCTGGCAGCCACGCAGCAGCAGCAGCAGCTGCTGCTGCTGCAGCAGAAGCTAATGGATGGAGGTGGGAAGCATCAGAAGTATATGATGTTACTGGGGATATCTCTTATAAGCTCGCCTGCTGCTTCATGCTGCTGTATGGACAGCCGCTGCTGCCGCGGCAGCCACCGCCCCTCGACAAGCTCACTATACAAACAACAAAAGAGAAAATGAAGAATACTTTTATTGAGGTTTCTCTACCCACCACCATGCTTGGGGTGTATATACACCGCAGCGTTCAGAGGTGTACGGGCTGGAGTCTGCATGAAAATGTAAGCCGCACACACACACCAGCAGCAGCACAGCAGCAGCAGCAACCACTACAGCAGCAGCAGCAGCAGCAACCGCAGCAGCACAACCTGCAGCACGTTTGCAAACCCTAAACCCTAAACCCTAAACCCTAATTCTTAGCTTTGCCCAGAGTGGAGCAGCTGCAGCCCTTTCTTTTTTTTTCTGTTGCTTAGATGCGTTTATCACTGCATTTGTTATTTTTTTCTCTTTTTATTTCTTTCACTTTCTGTTCCTGTATCCCCCATATAAATATTTAATTAATATAATTAATTTATTTTTATTTTATTTTATTTTATTTTATTTTATTTTATTTTTTTTTGTTTAGGATTTCTTGCTGCACTCGTTGCTGGTGCCGTCCAGGGAGACGAGAGAGTTTNTTTATTTTTTTTTGTTTAGGATTTCTTGCTGCACTCGTTGCTGGTGCCGTCCAGGGAGACGAGAGAGTTTGCGCGCTTCGCAGTGACGGCCTCTGATTTGTTTTGCTTTAACAGCGCGAAGCCCCCTGAGGGCAGCAGGCCTTCATCAGTGCTTCCTTTTCTTACATCCTACAGCAGCAGCAGCAGCAGCAGCAGCAGCAGCAGCAGCAGCGGCAGCGGCAGGAGTAGGGGTGGGGGGGGAGGGGGCTGTATCTGCTGCAGCAGCACAGGCGATAGTCTATGGGAATGTGTGGGGGACCCTCTTGCTGCTCCAGCATATCTGCGGCGTTTTTTAATAGACTCAAATGGTGTTGGCTCTGTTTCTCCTTTTATCATCACTAACAACACCAACAGGCCCTGCTGTCTCCCCACGCTGCTGTCTGTATGCAGCTACACACGCGCCCAGGAGTGCACGCAGCTGTCTCCTGCTGCGAAAACTCACTTTCCTTTCTTCTTGCAGTTCATAGCTAAACAGCAACAGCAGCAGCAGCAGCAGCAGCAACAGCAGCAGCAGAAGCAGCAGCAGCAGGAGGAGCAGCTGGAGATGCTCCCCGATCGCATTGCCCTCACACCTCTCTCGGTGCTGCAGCAGCACAACGAGCAGATGCAGCAGCTGCTGCAGCAGCAGGCTGCGCTCATGCTGCTGCTGCTGCCACCGGCAGCTCTGCAGCTGCTGCGGCGGCAGTCACTTGCTGCAGTGGGGGGTCAGCTGCCTCCCCTGCCTCTATTAGAAGCAGCATTTCAGGTGCGTCCTGCTGCTGCACCTTTTGCTGCTGTTATGGGAGCATCGGGGGCTATTGCTGCTGCTGCAGTGGAGCTGCTGATGTCTCGCCCCACACATCTGCTGCCAGCATCGCTGCGGCAGTACCCGCTGCACCTGCTGCTGCAGTTGCTGCAGTCACAGCGGGCAGCTGCTGCTGAAGTTGAGGCCCTTGAGCGTATAGGTCTAGCAGCAAGAGCAGCAGCAGGGGGGCCCCCCAACAACCCGTTGCTGTGGGAGGCCCTTCGTGCGGTGCTGCTGGAGCTGACGCTGCTGCTGTCGGATCGTTTCGCCTCGACGGGAGGCTGGCAGCAGCAGCAGCAACAGCAGCAGCAGCAGGGGGAGCTGCAGCAACAGCATTTAGAATGGGTTGTTGCAGAAGGAGACAAAGTTCCTTCTGGCTTCGTGCTGCTGCTGCTCTTCTCTCAAGCACAGCTCGTATCCAATGTGGCGGCGGAGCTGTGGCGGTGCTTCTTGCAGCTGAACCGCAGCAAGCAAAGAGGNAGCTCGTATCCAATGTGGCGGCGGAGCTGTGGCGGTGCTTCTTGCAGCTGAACCGCAGCAAGCAAAGAGGCGAATCAGCAGCAGCAGCAGCAGCAGCAGGAACAGCAGCAGCAGCAGCAGGAACAGCAGCAGCAGCAGCAGCAGCAGAGGGAAAGGCGAACGAGCTGCTGCTTGATACTGTCAAAGCCTTCAGCCCGAAACACCTCAGCGGCTCAGAGGCGGAGTGGTCTTACCTAGCAGCAAAGACGGACGCGCTGCTGCTGCTGCTGCTGCAGTTCTCTCATTTCAAGTCTCCTCCAGCAGATGCAGCAGCAGCAGCAGCAGCAGCAGCAGATACAAATGCAGGTGAAGGTGCTGATGGCGAAGCCCCAATGGCTGAGGATGGAGCTGACAGCAGCAGCAGCAGCAGCAGCAGCAGCAGTGGAGCGTGTGCTGCAGCGGATGCTGCGCTGCAGCATGCGCAGTGGTGGCGGCGAGTAGGAGACTGCCGGCGTTTGTCTTCTTTATTTTGTCTGTCTTCTCTCTCTGGGAAAGGGGAGGAGTTGAGTGAGAGGCAGCAGCAAATAAAGCAGCAGCGTGGGGTGTCTGTACACCTCTCCGCGCGTCAGC